AAGTCTCGAATTTCTAACACCGCTGTCCAAAAAAACTTGTTCAAGATTGTAATTAAATATACCTATATTACAAAATAAAAATATGAAAGATATGTATTTGACAATGAAAAGTGATTAAATGAAGTTGAGGACGGAAAACAATCTTAACGTACTATTGCCAAAATAGCTTTGCTGCATCATTTGAGGTCTAGGCGCTCTTCAGAACTAGATCACTAGAAGTTTTGATATATGAGCTCCCTACCATTACTTTCCGAGTGCTAAAGCTTGCCCTGCAATGATATATATGGATATGGATAATAATAATAATAATAATAATAATAATAATAATAATAATAATAATAATAATAATAATTTGTTCAGTAAGTTATAGTTTACAACTGTATAGAATTTTCACGATCATTTGTATCGGCGACACAAATACCAACCTTATTTCAGTACGAGTATTTAGAATAATTTGAAGGCATCGAAACTGATGTACCGAGAATTTTGTTTTTCTTGTACTTATATTCTCCCTGACTTCCGTATTCGCCTTGAGATATAGCTTCTGCAGTTCAATCTAGTTACTATCGGACGCGGAGCTCTTAGCGAGAATGCACAAATTGAGAAAGAATTTAATTACTCCACCACCTGCCAAAAAGCATTTACATACCACAAATGCCGTCAGACCACTGGATTTTCAATCTTTTGAAAATTTGCCGACCTCAGGGAGGATCGATCCAACGAACGTAGTAGCTGAAAGGTAACCACGCCTCTCTGAAGGAGCTCCGAGAACCAATTAATTTTCAATTAAAAGGCGCTTATTTGATACCGGCTTTCTTACGGTAACAAAGAACGGGTGGCAGAATATCGGAGGGGCAGGAAGAGAGCGGTGAGCGCACAGAATGAGACGACCCAGGGAGGCGGTCAGCGCGCGGACAGCTGTCCATCACGAGGAATCCTTCCCGAAAAGCCTTCTGCTGTAGGCGTCCAAGCCGAGAGGACGCGGGGGCGGGGTCTGGAAGGGTAATAAATCTGAAAGCGGAGCGCTCTGACCTCCCTGGGGTGCGATCGGAATTTGAATCCCGTGCTCCAGGCTTCGACAACTAATTGTACGTTTCGTGAACCGTTACGTCGCTCCGCTCGTGCCATTGGGATTTCCTGGGAACCGTATGGTAATGTTTTTGTAGAATAAAACCTTTTTTATTGGTTGTCGTATGTTTTGCGTCAGCGGATTTTTACGAACGCGACGTGTCTGCGTGACTGAATTTAACGAAATGTAAAACAAATAAATGAAAACCGTTTTTCTTTATACAAATTACTGTTAACGTTGAGCAGAATTTTAACTGATATTTTTATTATCAACAAAAAAATTTACGCAATGCCGCAAAACATAAAAATTGTTACTTCTATTATTGTTAATCATGTTCTAATAAGGTTTTATGCCTCATGTAAAATAGGTTATCTTAAACGCAAAACAATTCATATATAAATAAACAATTTCTTAGTCTGGGTTTAAAAACTAAAACTGCATGAGGGTTAATAATGCATCACATTAAAATAATGCAATAGAAATTGCAAAAAAGTAATCATATTTATTTTTATAATAAAAAAATGAATCGCATTAATTCGCAAAGGGCGTCCGAAGTTGTTACTGCTTTCTATAAATATACGTAAAAATGGAATCAACGTTTTATTTGCCTTGAATTTTATCATCGTTTTTGAACAATGAACATGTATATCTAGAACTTCATGAACATGCAAATAATATGTTATAATTGCAGCTAATAAACATTATAAATATTAAATCAAAATCAATTACACAACGTACATTATAACTATTTAAAATAAAATATTTTTATTATTATTCGTCATGTACAGCCAAGATTAATCAAGGCCGACTGTGTGGGGGAGCCGAGAGTGTAGGTGGATCGTTGCGCACAGCTGCGAGGATGTTACTGATGGATGGAGGGCGTGTAGGGATGGGGGGCCGTAGCGCGTGGAGTTAATCTCATTGTGCGCTCTGAGTGCAGCCACTAACACCCAAGATTACCGTCAGACCGCGCCGCCGTCGCTCTGGCCTCCGAAGACGCCATTTCAACCGCTTGACTCCCCATCTGCAACACGCTTTTCGGTAATACTGAGCTTAATGCCTGACCTACGGCTGAGAGAGTGGCTCCTGCTTTCGCGATTACCGCAGGTAATACGTCAGCTTAACTGGAGAGCAAAGAAAAGTCTCTAGTCGACTAATGCCCGGATTTTCAGGCCGTTACGTTAATGGCAAGTCGAAACACCCAGTATGCATGGTAATGAGAAAAAGCCCAACCTTGAAATTACGGGCAACTTCTTTTTCAGCAAACAAATAAATTGATGATTAGTAAACGACGAGTGGCTAAGTAACAATGAAAGAAATAAATACTTTTTAATAGATTCGCCTTTACTTTCGCATTTTCACCTCTACCACATCTTTATGGCAGATAATTTATACAATGAGGTAAAGCTAATAAAATGTATAATTCTTTTATCACAGTAACTTGTAATGTATAGTAAAGAAGACAAATAAGTGTCAAATTTATCACGAGAAGGAAAAATGTGTTTATAAATTTTAATTCAATCTAGGCTACTCATATTTCCAACAAATTTATGTACATTTCTTATTCTCTGTCACATACTTAAAACCTTGAAAGTATGAATAATTCACTTCACATCCTGTTCTTGCATTTAGACAATTATAATGTGCTGTTTTCATCGTTGTTACATTTCGCAGTTTCAAATCGATGTTTTTATAAGTAATATACATTGACAGGAAAGTTTTTTATTACACTTAAATTTAAACTTCGACTATTCATACCAAATGCAATTGAACGTTGGAAGAGCTTCTACTAACTTAGCTCATTACGTTTTCAGCAGATACACACACACCACGAACAGCAATTACCTTTACGCTCGCAAACCAGACGTGGAATTTCGCATTCAAATTCAACTAACTGCAAGCTAGAACAGGGTGTTCACTTAACATAGTTTTTTTCTTTTATTTATCCACTCTGTTTCGATGTATTTTTGAGGTGTGTATTTAATCCTCTTCTTCTTAAAAACTTGCCGATAATATATATTACCCAACACGGAACTCAAAACAACATTCATCAGCAAATTTCACTTTCTTTCGGTTGAGCGTAACCCAAACGTACCAATCCCCTCGCCCGGAGCTTTCGATTATATTCTTGGAAGTCAGGAAGGCTCAGGGAGAATGAAATCGAGAAACAAATATTCCTAGAACGGCGACCATGACTCCAAAACAGTAAGGGAGAGAGAAGGAATATTGAATATCTGTTGATTAAATCCATTCTTCGTTATGGAGAATTTTTCGGGAGAAAGCTACTGAACCTAAGGTGTAGAATGAAAGCAAAAATGTTTGTTTTGCGAATAATCTTTTAGTCTGCGCTGAAGTGACTAAATAAAGGTTTGTTTTTTTACGCAAATAAATAAATTACATTTTGTTACAATTCAATTTAGATATAAGATTTTTTGTGAAAAACATTGTATGAATGTTTCCTTCAAACAAACTGAAAAACGGGTATGAGATTTCAAAACGCCTAGAAATACCAAAAACCATTCAAATTATTTGAATAATATTAAGAATTTGGTTTACTTATTCCAAAGCAGCGCAAAATTTGACAAAAACTTTAGACTTCAGCGATGTGAGAGATGTCTATAGTTTCTTTTATCGCACGGGAATTCGAATAAATCCAAAAAGTCAACAGTACTAATTTCCTAAAAGAGCGAAGAGAGAAAGAAAACTCTGCACTCTGGACATGTGGACACTCTGGACAGTGGGTTTTCTAGATACCCGAACTCGAGAAAAAATCCGAACACATGAAACAGTTTCGATTTTTTCATAGTAGGATACTGGGTGTACTGGCTGAATTCACATTGAATTCGATACTGATTACGAATCAGGGTACGTATGCGACTCCAAGACTCCAAGGAAGAGGTTGTTTGCCAATATGTCATTCACAAGTTGTGTCATGGATCAGAAACTTTTTTGTTATTCATAGGATTCTGGGTTTTATATTTACTGCATGCCAGTCACCGAGTAACCGTTCAATGTAGGTAGTGTTATGTATATATGTACTATTTCAAAAGATATTAGTCGTATAATAAGTATTCTATGATACAATGTAATGGGTATTCGTATCGTAATACTACTTCACCCTTGCGCATTAATACCCTTCATTACAATATCAGCTCATATTATACTAATTATCTAAGATTTTGTGAACCCTGAAATAATATTTACTTGGTCCTTGATGTAGAAAAAATGTTTACGGCACAACAGTCATCTGTCCGAAGGTTTCTGGTTAGCCATTTCATAATATAACTAATGGGAAGTAGCGCAATCATTTGTCAACATTTATCTATCAATTAGGCCTAAACATTCCATGTAGCGAAAAAAAAAATTGTAAGGGACTAAATTGTACGGAATTGTATGTATAATCTTTTGATAAAGTGTATTTTTTTGCCAAAATTTGATATTTATTAGATAGGCACAAAAAGAAACAAAAATGTTATATTTTGATATTTTGTTGACATAACTGATATTCCAACGGAAATATTTTTGGCAAACTTCAGATTCGTTCTCAGCACTCCAAAAAACATAAGGCACCAAAAAATCAAAATACACTACAAAATATTTTAGAACAGTCTTAATGAGTAACTAATGACTGGACTGACTGAACTACATATTTGTAGTATATTTTATAAAAGAACATGAATGACTCTTTCTTCCCAAACTATTTCAAAATTTTCAACTGATATATTTCTCAAAGATACTTTCCGGAAACAATATACTCATTTAACGAATATCTTATTTCTTCCACTTTTCATTAACATTCGTGGAAACACGTGCACTGTTATCGTTATTTCATGCTACATCTTTACACTTTCATTTTCATCTAGCCCTATGCTGTCATTGTCAACACAAGTTCAGTCTTAAACTGTAATATTTTAGAGAGCATGTTGTTTACCGTGCCACTGTCATCTCCATCAGTAGAATCTTCTTCAGGGTCGATGCCAGGAGCAGGTGACTATACATACGATCTGCTTCCAGTTCATCTTCCTGAAGCAAACTCACGATTTCCTGTAAAGAAAGGCCTTGTGAAACATAACCTTTAAATTGTTGAATTTGTCTAGCGTAAAATAAATACATTTATTTACTGGATATTATTCCGGAATAATAGTGTTCTGAACATCAAAATTGATTCTATAGAAAGGCTCTGTGCCACAACGTAAATACACCCTAACTTAATAGTCAAACATTTTGATGCCATCAAACACTGAAGAATGCACGCATAATCTGCGTCATATGTGCTAATTCAATCCATCTCCACCTCATGCGAGCTAGATATCAATGTAATATTTACCATGGAATAAAGAAATATAAAAAGGTCGTCGACGACGACGACGAAGACGACGCAAAATTAAAATTATCTTCATTTACATATCATAAATATATAAAAGTGTGGAATAACTTGTATGAATCGCTGGAGAGATTTGACATAAATAGACAAATCGTCCCAGTGATCTGGCACAAAAACTGCGACCAACCTTTTAACCATAATATGGCAAAGCAAATAATCTCCACAAAAGTTTTAATAATTTTTAATAATAATTTTCCCCAAAAAATTGTTGGGAATGGAAATTTTTATGGATTACCACAAGATATCTGCTACCACCACGGAATTTATTAACCATCTTCAATGTTAGAAACACGTAATCGTCTTCACGCTTTTGACGCACTTGTCTCCCCTTGCGCATGTAGTTTTCACTCCCTCCGATAGCCAATATTCACACAAACCTCGCCGTGGGAGTTAGGAGCGGGAGGGCGATATCGGAAAGCGCTCGGTGACGATCAGTCGATTCTCGCAAGGCCCTCCGTCTGGAAGAGGGAACTCTCGACTGCCGCTTACTCAAGCACCGCTCGTACAGATCACCACTCAGATAACATCGGTTCCTCCTCTGCGCGGCTGAGCCAAGTGCGATACAATGCGATACGCGAAAGACATGCCGGATGACCCTGCGCCTTTTGGATATGAATGTAAATAGCGCGGTGAAAAATGTATTTCAACTACAACGTGTCATTTGTTATCATAAGTTGGTGGCACATATTTCAAATTTGTTTATCGTTTTACACATGACTGAAAGCACTGCTAATGGGTTTCTCCTGCGTGTATTGTGCGAAATCAAATGTGCTGGCCTACCCATTTGATTTGCTTGATAATAATGCGTAATTTAATTTTGGTCAGGTCAAATATTTATTGGTAGTATTTGTCAGTTTAGTGAAAATACTGATAATATAGGAATGCCCCTGTTTTGCCATTTATTAACGAAAATACTGGTCCAACGTACACTGGATTATTTACAGTTTCAACCTCTGAATATTTTGAATATCATCAAAGAGAGCAAACACGTTAAAAGAACAATACGTTTAAAAAAAATTAAAAATGACCCTTACCCGATATGTAAATTCAATATTCGGCTCGTACCAAATATTGAAAACTGACGTTTCGCCTATTTTCTCCCGTTTCTTTTGAACAGTGCATAGTGCATAGTCTGAATGTGTGTTGGGAAAAAGTACGGGAATGTGTGTGTGTGGAATCGCCAACAATTCTGCAATTATGCTTTCATTGGTTTTAATGACAGAATGTATTGAATAACGACTACTAAAATCATGTCTCTTTCGGTGTCGTATCCATATTAATATTCATCAACGTATGTACACCGTTCTGAACAAGAACGCGTTTTAAAGCAATTGTTTCATTGATACGGACACTGGTCTTGACCCATGACTGCTCAGAGAGTCGAACTGATTTCGTTCACCTATTGTTTAAATCATGTATCCTTTTATACATTCAGGTAAAGATTCTTATCCTCCACCTCATTATTATTATTATTTTTATTATTATTGTTGTTGTCAAAAACGGTAATACGGAAAAAACAAAACACTACAAACAAAGAAACGTACAATGTAACACTCCCCTCTCTGACAAGTAAAATAAGTACTTAGAGCCGGTTTGGAGTGTACTGGATAAAATAAATTTGTTAAGAACGGTATTTTCATTAAAAGGTTAAACAGGATGTAATGTAGTGAAGCCAAATTAGTATTATTTCTTCTTGTTTATGTTGTTCTAAATGTTTATGTAAACATTAACATCTCTTGTGCACTATTGATGTAATTATAATAATAATAATAATAATAATAATAATAATAATAATAATAATTATAATTATCATTATTATCATTATTATTATTATCATCATTATTATTATCATCATTATTATTATCATCATTATTATTATTATCATTATTATTATTATTATTATTATTATTATTATTATTATTATTATCATTATTATTATTATAATATTATTATTATCATTATTATTATTATAATATTATTATTATTATTGATATCGCCTATTGAAATGGAATGTTTAAACAAATTAAGATGTGTATATGTGTGTGGGCGGGTATGCAAATGTGTGAATGGGGGCGTATGTGTACGTACTACGCATGTATGCCAATGTGTGTCATCTCGTGCGCGCGTTCGCTTGTGCGTGCGTGTGCATTCCCCCCTCAACGCACTTCCCCGAAAGCAGAGCCTTACGCCGTGGCGTGCGCTCGCGATGTGGCAGGTGCGGACGGGATCATCAGCGACAACTCGCCGCCGGTGCTGCGCCTGGACCGCGCGTGGACGGTGCAGGCTTCGGAGGGCGTGGGGTCGGTGGTGACCCGCGTGCAGGCCGAGGACGCCGAGGGCGACCCCTTGGCCTTCGGGCTGGAGCACGACGAAGACGACCCTCACAAGAACCCGCTGCCCTTCACCATCGACAGCCGCACCGGCCACGTCAGCGTCAACGACTCCCTCGCCGATTGGGTGAGTACCTTGGTTACGTACCGCGGTTAGCGTACCGGACTGTTGTGCCCAAGGTGGCAGTTTCAAACCTGATCGAAGCGGTGGATTTTTAGGGGCGATAAAATCATTCGTACGCCTTCCTCGCCGGTGGGTACGTAAAGCCGGCTGTCCCATGTTAGTAGATTTACTTGCATGTAAAGGATCAAGCCTAAATAACGTCTCTGAGCTAAATTGAAATCGCCTGTTTCTTGCCCAAGAAATACCTCCTTTCTCTCCAATTGTTGAAAGGAGCGTAGCGAAATTTGCATGGTCAGACGGAAGAGCAGGCTTCATGGCTTGAGTCTCTCCAAACATTAATCCAATCCAATTCAAATCAACACCTACCCCCCCCCTCGCGTTACCACCCGCCACTCTTGTTCTTCAGTCAACGAGAGGGGACGTGACGTGTCAACGGCTGAGAAACCGAAACCAACTGATGTATGTCCGATTTTTTTTAACGAAATATTCTTTCTGCTGCCGACTTGAATAGCTGAGGTGACTGGGAGCGTGTACTGACATAGCGCTTCGGTCCAAACGGCCGCGGATTCCAGTCCCGTCAAGAGCGTGGTTGGTTGTCCCGTCTCTCTCATGCTTGCGTTGACGCGGAGGGCCTCGCGTTCTGCTGACACCTGATCACAAGTGTGTTGGTGTATAGTGTCTGGTCGAATTTACTCCCTATCGAGACGTAAATTATAACCGGTTGTGGTTTCATAAAATGTCAATGAACAAAAGTACCAGTTTCATGGTATTTTATGTCCTTTAAATGTACGAGTACTTCAAACCAAATTGTAAATATTACACTACATAAATTTGCTACAAACCCATTCCGTACTAACCCTTTCCTTACTTACCCACCACATACAAAAGGTTGAAATAGCTCTCCTGATAAATTTAGTAAAATGGCCTTTGAGAATTCTGGTTCTCAACCGACAATGTGTGACTATGTAAATAACTATACATTAAGTGTTTAACCACTGGGCGCCTTTCAATTACAATTTACATTATTACATTTAAAAAGGTGTTTTGGGTTAAAATACAATGAAAATAGTGCGTCCTGGCTCACTGATGCTTTTTGTTAGCCGCGTGTATCGAAGGTCGGAACCTCCTAATGAAATTATTCATGCGATGCGATGCGAAGCGTCAACTCGCCTTAAAATGTTGAGTTCATAAATAAGGGCCATTGTGCTCCCGGTCCGTGTAGTCGGTAGCCTTCTTTTTCGTAAATGAGTCGATTCTTTCACGTTGAGTACGATAAGTGAGAAAAGTTAAATAAGTTCTGTAATACCTCGCATATATACCACTTACATTGCAAATACAATCCATGGGTATCGTTGAAAACCGAAAAATTCTGTAGTGACTAGACATCAGAGATGCCCATTGACTCCGATGGAAAACTGATTAAAGTGGGGCTGCAGTGCAAGACCCGTGAGTGATGCGTGGCGAAATGGCCTTTTATTTTAATTATCTTAGTATTAATTTATCGTTCTTTTATTTTAATTATTTTCGGCTCTTATCCTTTATCATGCTTCGCAGGGAGCAATCACTCACCGCAAGAATATGGAGAACAATGAGAACTAAATGGTGTCTTAAAATCTATGTGTGCCCATGCTCATAACGAGGCTAGAGCCTTCGCAATCCCTGATAAACGTAAATCATATTTGATATTGTGCAACGCATAATTTCCAACGCAATTTATGTTTAATACTTGACAAATAAAATTGAGAAAATTATTAAAAGAATAATATAGGTCGAAGTGAAAATAATCAGTTAATGAAAACGAGCTTAAAGCAGGCTTTTAAGCACTTACTTGCTAAGTAGCCGATAAAGCACATTCACGAGGCCTCGCGAGGCAAACAATTCGGGACCATTCAGTTACAGGAATATCAAACACAATTTAATACTACGTTGCCTCGTTAGATTATTGGTTGTACACAGCTCTGTCGTCGCAGCGGTTGGCTGCGTCTAACGCTTTGTTAGTCGAGTCCCAATGTAGTGCAATTCATGAGTCATTAGCTCTTTGGAGTTGTCATTAGGAATAATGCTTTGAAGCTACAGTTGATCTGATGTTTCATGGTATGTTATTACTTTAGACGATAAATTTGCCAGACGCAAACCTTACAGATAACGTCTATCGTAATCCACAGATGGAAGGGACATTGTAAGCTTGTTTTAATAGTATACAAACGAGAAATCAACTAATGAAGGATTGACCCATTATTAAATATCAGTGCGGTTCTTTCATGATGAAGCATTGTAAATGTTAGTTTCTGAAATGAAACTGGCAACGCACAAACATTTTATGAGGATGCATTCTGAAAGTTACACCTGAGGAGAAGTTCTCTCCCGAATCAGGGAGGTTAGAAGGGGAAAATTATTATAGATAAATGTTGTTGGTTTTTTTGAAAAGAGAATGAGGTTCCTGTCATTCATATGCTGAAACATTGTCACAACTACGAATTTCTCGTTTTAAAGCATTTATAATAAAAATAATAATATTAGTAATAAAAATAATATAATCACTCTGATGTAGACTTTCACTGCTGATTCATAATCTATCTGCGTGTTGTACGTGATTTGATACAGCCAGCGAAACCTTAAACAATGTTTACCTCAAAACTCATTTTTCGAGTTCTGTCATTCACAGACGACATGTTCATACCTTCGGGTGATGATTAAGCATTTCTTCAGAATAGTAAGAGGTTTGTTTGAATTTCAATTAGCTCGTACATTCATACAAATTCAATAATTATAGAACATAAAACTGTCAACAACAACCTTCACAAGTTTAATCAAAATTACTTTTTTTAGTTTTGGTGTATCCGTTTTCTTTAATTTTCGTTTGTCATAAACGTACGATTTATGTGAAGCTTCAATTGAAATGTATGTATCACTAAGTATCCAGTTATATTATCGCAAATTTGTGTTTCAGTTTTGCATTTATACGACTAAAATACTTTACTTAAAAATACACGAGCATTCCAGTGTCAAATTATTTAAAAAATATCTACTTCACGGGAAGTTCTGACGTAGAAACCGATGCAGTACTCAGTAAACATTATTACCCTCTTGCCTAAGATAAACATGTCTCATGTACAAAAACGTTCATTACAGTTAGGCATTGTTAGTCCAATGAACACGAGCGGGAGCGGGCCATTTATACCCCACTTGTTGCCGAGTCTTGTGTATGTACCCTCCTATCAAAACGACAACGTTGCATTTAAATGCGCTAGTAAACAGGCGCAGAAGAATAGGTTTGAAGTGTTTATTTACTTTCACAACATGTCAGTGTCAACAAATGTTAGTTTCGCTAGAGAACATATTTTAACAACAAACAACCACATACCTTGGACACAAAGAGACCTAATTCAAAGGAGACTCAGTATGGAGGAGAAGTTCAGACCCTGTATGCCGCTCGTCCCTAAAGCATTCATTTCCTCTCTATTAACTAAGTAAATCTAAGTCTCTAATGACAGGGCATGAATTCTTGGTTACCTGCGTTTAATACTCGTATATGTCAAATATTATTTTTCTTCTTTTAGGTTACCAGCACATTTAAAGACTTTGGGTTAAACAGTTTGAATAAACAAGAATGAAAGTTTGAAACAGAATAAAAAGAACCGAACTCGTATTAACTGAGGTTACCGTGATAAATAATTCGAGACCGTTCAATTACAGAAGTATCAAGCACACTTCGTTACTTTTTCGAAATCGTGTTGTAACTCAAAACTAGTGTGAACTCGTGGCACACAGGAACGTTTCCTTTCCGTGTGTAACGTTTCAACAATTTTTCATTATTTAAGAAAAAGTGCATGACCCAATTTAATGATCTACAACTGAAAGAAGTTAGGCAGAGAAAAATCGACGCCACAAAAATCAATAACATTGAAAAAGAAAGTTAGAACGTTCCTTAAAATATTGAGCAGCAGAGATGTTCGTCGAAAATTAGATTGGCTTAGAATGTGGCTGCAGCAAAGTTAGAAAATCTTCTTGTTCACTATTAGGAAAATCGAAAAAACAGACACCTTTTATCATGACCTTCAATATTAAGTATGTAGGGCTTTTGAAAAGAGTGAAATTTACAAACTCTGAAGAAAAAAAAGCAACAAGAAATTGTAAAATATATAAAGAATTTTGATCAAAAGTTAAAGAGAAAACCTAGATACAAATGAAGAGGAAACATATTTTGATTTCTTCTACTCCCCTAGACAATTAATCGTTATTTATTACGTTTCATCTAATTCTGTGCACGGCACATCCCATTCTCGTGGTAAGATACCTATTTCCAGCCAGTCCTCTGTTTTTGGACTTACTTACTCTACAGGCACAAATATTCCCTTTCTCCTTCCACCCTTCCTACAATATTCCAACCATGTTGTGTCCCCTTGATTCTCCTTCTCAACATACCTTTGCTTCATTCTTCTTCGTTCTCCTCCTTCAGTCTCCACATTTCATACTTCGTACATAGAGAAGAGAGAACAGAAGAGAGAGATGAGAGAACGGGAAGAGAGTAGAGAAGAGAGAAGGAAGAGAGAGAGAAGAGAAACGGAAGAGAGAGAGAAGAGAGAGCGGAAGAGAGAGAAAGAGAGAGAGAAGGAGAAGAAGAGAAGAGAGAGAGAGAAGAGAGAGAGAAGAGAGAGAGAGAAGAGAGGAGAGAAGGAGAGAGAAGAGAAGAGAGACAGAGAGAGAAGAGAGCGAGAGAAAGAGAGAGAAGAGAGAACGGGATATTACAGAAAGATAAAGGGAATAGAAGAGAGAACGGAAGAGAGAGAGAGAGAGAGGAGAGAGAACATCTACACCCCGGTGCGCCCTCTCCCGTGCAGCCCTTCAATTTAATTTTCGCCGCAAATTGCCCCGCCGTCCCTTTCGTTCAGCGCCTACGAGGAAGCTCTTCCGGCAATATTTGGTGCCGTTGAAAAAAGAAAGAAAAGAAAAAAAGAAGGGGGGCTTCCGCGCTCGGTCATGATCGTTTCGACGCGCGCTCTCGAGATTAAAAGCGTAAATAAGCAAAATGGCTACGCGCAGCTTTTACGCTGCTGAGACACAGACTGCGGTTGTAAAGGTACTAGCTTACTCT